AAACCCTAAACCCTAAACCCTAAACCCTAAACCCTAAACCCTACACTCGGGAGGCTGTTCTGGAACAACACCCCCACCCTCTTCGAGCCGCTCCGGTACGTGTACACCGGGGAGGAGCCTCCTGTTTGAAGCTAAAGGTTTTTGGGCTCAGGGCCGTTTAGGGTGTAGGGTTTAGGGTTTAGGGTTTAGGGTTTAGGGTTTAGGGTGAGGGTGTACGGTTTAGGGCTTGTGGTCGCAGACCTTGGCAGGTAGAGCTTCAGGCGAAATAGGGCGCACGAGGGCGTTTGGGCTTTGCAACGACCAGGAGCCTGCGTTTGGAGTTGTCACCACTACTAACTGCTTAAGAACCCCCAAGAAGCAAACAATATTCTTCCTTACAAGGGTAATATAGGGATTCTTGTTTCTATATTCTTTTGCGGTTCTTAAGCAAATAGCAGACCAGGCATCTAACCCCAAAACCCTGGTTCCTAGACCGCCGTCCCGCTTATCCCTGAACCCCTAAGCCTTAAAAACCCTAAACCCTAAACCCTAAACCCTAAACCCTAAACCCTAAACCCTAAACCCTAAACCCTAAACCCTAAACCCTAAACCCTAAACCCTAAACACCCTAAACACCCTAAACACCCTAAACACCCAAAACCCCCTAAACCCCCTAAACCCTAAACCCTAAACCCTAAACCCTAAACCCTTTCCCTTGACCCGTATCCCCAGACCCAAAACCCTTCTTCCTAAACCCCAAGCCTGAAACCATGTCCCTGAACCCTTTGATGCCTAGACCCTAAACTCACATCCCCCACCCTAAACCGTAATCCCTGAACCCTGATTCCTAAACCCTGAACCCTTCTCCCTGAACCCTGAACCCAAAAAGACCCTAAACCTTAAACCCTAAACCCTAGACCCTAAACCCTAAACCCTAAACCCGAAACCCGAAACCCTAAACCCTGAACCCTTCCCCTGAACAAGGTTGCTGACTTTCTCCAAGTCGCGCATGAACCGCTCGCTGCAGTGTCTGTACGACTGCCATCGCTGCATGCAAGGTGGGGTTTAGGTTTTGGCGTTTAGGGCTTAGGCGGGTGTAGGGCTTGGGGTTTAGGGTTTAGGGTTTAGGGTTTAGGGTTTAGGGTTTAGGGTTTAGGGTTTAGGGTTTAGGGTTTAGGGTTTAGGGTTTAGGGTTTAGGGTTTAGGGTTTGGTGGGGTTTAGTAGGGTTTAGGGTTTAGTAGGGTTTAGTATTTAGTAGGGTTTAGGGTTTAGGGTTTAGGGTTTAGGGTTTAGGGTCTATGGGGTCTGCAAGGTTCAAGACTTCGTGTCTTGGATGTGTTTGGGAGCGGTGCCACGCAATGAGTTCTGAGCAGTAGGAGGGGCAGGCTAGCCAATGCGTTAGTTGGCCGTTCGTGGGCCGTTTAGGATTTGTGGTTTAGGCCATATGAAGACGTACCGCATTGTGCCCCAATCAGGCCTTCCGTCGGATATTTCAGCATGGCAACTCATGAGTTATAAGTCCCTTAGCTATAGCGAGTAGAGTAAGGGGGGGCGCCCTCTCCTAAACCCTAAACCCTAAACCCTAAACCCTAAACCCTAAACCCTAAACCCTAAACCCTAAACCCTAAACACCCTAAACACCCTAAACACCCTAAACACCCAAAACCCCCTAAACCCCCTAAACCCTAAACCCTAAACCCTAAACCCTAAACCCGAAACCCGAAACCCGAAACCCGAAACCCGAAACCCCAAGCCAATCGACGCCCCCAGTAAAAGGCGATGTGAACAACGAGTCCTTGACGTTGCTGGGTCAGCACTGCCACGGGAAGGCGCTTCCTGAAGTCCAACGTGACAGACATAGAGTTTAGGGATTAGGGTTTAGGGTTTAGGGTTTAGGGTTTAGGGTTGAGGGCTCAGGGTTCAGGGTTAGGGTTTAGGGTTTAGGGTTTAGGGTTTAGGGTTTAGGGTTTAGGGTTTAGGGTTTAGGGTTTAGGGTTTAGGGTTTAGGGTTTAGGGTTTAGGGTTTAGGGTTTAGGGCCCTAAACCTTAAGCCCTACACCCTCAACCCTGAACCCTGAACCCTGAAGGAAGGACACAGGCAAGGCTACGGCCCCCAGCTGCAATTCCAAGGTTTCGGGTTCAGGGACCCAAAATGAACCCCAAACCCTAAACCTAAACCCCAAACCCTAAAACCTTGAACCCTAAGTCTGAACCTATACCCTATGCCCTGATGCGCGAAAACAACAATATTATGCAGGGTGTAATGGATAGATAGATGGTGAAAGTGTACCAGACACATCCTTATGCCCCTTAGAACCCCAACCTCCAAGTTTAGCATCTTTTTTTTTTTTTGGGGGGGGGGGGGGAGGGGGGCTTAGGGTTTCTAGCCGTTTGGGCTTTAAGCTTATGTTAGGGGGGTTTAGGGTTTGAACCGGGTTTTTAGGGTTTGTGGTTCTGCTGCTTGAGTCCGATGGACGCGCTCAGCTCCACACGACTAGGCGATGGTCACCATAGGGTTTAGGGTTTAGGGTTTAGGGTTTAGGGTTTAGGGAACCTGAACCGAAAGATCGAAGCCTCAGCTACCTGCGCCCTCAACCCTCAGGGCTTAGGGCTTATAGGGCTGATAGGGTTTAGGGTTTAGGGTTTAGGGTTTTTTGTCAACCCTGAACGCTAAAGAAAGCCCTGAAAGACCAAACCAGTGGAGTCCTCTCGCAGTTGGGATCCGGGCCCCTGGTGCTGAAAACCATACGCGCGCCTGGGCCAGCAGGGTTTAGGGTTTAGGGTTTAGCGTTTAGGGTTAAGGGTTAGGGTTTAAGGCTTTAGGGTTCAGGGTTGTTTATTGTTCATGGTATAGGGTTCAGGGTTCAGGATTCAGGGTTTAGTGTTGTTTTGTTTCCCTTATTATTGTGGTTCCCAGCAGGAAGATGGGTTCCCCGGTAGAGTCCATGAAAGAATTAGATGCAAGACCTAGCAAGTCTTCTGTCGGGTTCAGGTTGCAGACTTTACACCCCAAACCCTAAACCCCGAAAACCCCAAACCCCTAAACCCCTAAACCCCTCAACCCCCAAACCCCTAAACCCCTAAACCCCCAAACCCCTAAACCCCTAAACCCCTAAACCACTAAACCCCTAAACCCCTAAACCCCTAAACCCCTAAACCCCTACACCCCTAAACCCCTAAACCCCTAAACCCCCAACCCCCTAAACCCCTAAACCCCTAAACCCCTAAACCCCTAAACTCCTACACTCCTAAACCCCCAACCCCCTAAACCCCTAAACCCCTAAACCCCTAAACCCCTAAACCCTAAACCCCTAAACCCCTCCCTAACCCCTCAACCCCTAAACCCCTAAACTCCTAGACCCCTAAACCCCTCAACCCCTAAACCCCTAAACCCCTAAACTCCTAGACCCCTAAACCCTCTAAACCCCTCAACCCCTAAACCCCTAAACCCCTAAACTCCTAGACCCCTAAACCCTAAACCCTAAACCTTAAACCCTAAACCCCTCCCTAAACCCTACACCCCCTCAAGTCCAAGCTGGTCGGTTTGCTTTTTGGGAGGTCGAATCCCTCAGAGCAGCCCAATTCCTTTATTTTCAGGGTTGCAGGGTGAAGCCCTAAGCTCCAAACCCAAACAACCTTAAATCCCGGAAGGGTTTAGGGTTTAGGGTTTAGGGTTCAGGGTTTAGGGTTTAGGGTTTAGGGTTTAGGGTTTAGGGTTTAGGGTTTAGGGTTCAGAGTTTCGGGTTTAGACCCTTAGACCCCGATGTCCGAAATCCTAAGCTGCAAGCCTACACCATAAACCCCAAAACCTCAACTCCAAACGAAGTCCCTTTCCTCACCCCCTTAAAAGCACGCACAAAACATCGCAACGTCTAAGCTCTCTCCTTGTAGGTTGCACTAAACTCCACTATGCACTGAAACCCTAAAACCCTAAACACCTCATCCCCAAAACCCAAAACCCCAAACCCAAAGCCCTGAACTTCGGTTTCTTTCTTTTAAGTTTACATGGGTTACCCCAAGCTCGAATCGGTCAACCCCTAAACCCCCGAAAAAACCCAAAGCCCTGAGCACCCTAGACGCCCAAAGCCCAGAAAAAACCCTCAGGCCCCCCAATGCCCCCAAAATCTCGAACCTTCCTAAAGCCCCTAAACCCGTAAAAGCCCTAAACCCGCTTAGGGATGCTTGGAAGTGTTTTTTCAATTTTGGTGTACCATGATTCCTAAGATCTCGAACCTTCCTAAAGCCCCATAAACCCGTAAACACCCTAAACCCTCTTAGGGATGCTTGAAAGTTTTTTGAAAAAAATGTGTGCCATGATTCCTAAGAAACAGTTAAAGATATAGTTTTTGGTAGGGTTCCAAGTTCAGTATAGATATTTTTTGGCTACAACCCCTCAACCCTAAACCATCCTAACCCTTAACCCTTAACCCTTAACCCTAAACCCTAAACCCTAAACCCTACAACCCCTAACCCTACAACCCCTAACCCCAAAGCCCTAAACCCTAAACCCTAAACCCCTTCTCTCTCCTTGTTTGGGCTTCCAGGTTGCGGACCTGGGTCTCCTTCCCCGCGCGCTGCCCAAGGCTGCGCTGGAGGCGCGAGCCGTTTGTTTATCCTTTTGGGGGTTTAGGGGTTTAGGGTTTAGGGTTTAGGGTTTAGGGTCTAGGGTTTAGGGTTTAGGGTTTAGGTTTTTGGGTTTAGGGTGGTGTCACGCCACCGTCGCAGAACAGAGCAGGCTCTCCTTGTATAAAGGTTGGCACCTGTTTATGCGATCATCTTTGACCGATCTTACTTGGTTTGAGGTCACAACAAGCGCGAATCTATCTACTTGACTCAGCGGGAGTGTCTCCCAGTGTGTTTCCATCAAGAGATGGTTTTCTTTACACTATGACGTTGAGATGAAATTTTATGATGAGAACGCGGCTTTTATTTAGATCGAGTTGGGCGTTCTTACTAGAGAACGGCCTGTCGTTGTTGTTTTTGCTGAAGAACAAAACTCGTCAGCACGTGACGTGCGACGATGCCGTGCCTGCATCGAAGCAGTTGGATTCAGAAGTGGCTTCTGGTCTTCGTGCTGCTGTTGGCGGAGAAGCTGGTGCTCGTGGATGCCCTTGTAAGCAACGGCACGTCGATGACCTTCGAATCTGAAGCAGTTGCTTGGGATGACCATGACCCGCTTGCGCCCCCGGACTTCGTGTGGGGAGTATCGACTTCATCGTTTCAAATCGAAGGATCTTTTGATGCTGATGGCCGAACTCCTTCGATTTGGGACGGGTTCCCCACCAGAAGTGGCGACAACGCCTCAGTGGCCTGCGACTCCTATCGTCACTGGCCTCGAGACCACGAGTTTCTGTCCGATCTCGGGGTGAACGCCTATCGGTTCTCCTTGTCCTGGTCTCGTCTGCTACCGGAGCCCAACATGTCTCAGCCGAATCCTCTGGCCGTCCAGGCATATCGAGCTCAGCTCCTATCTCTGAAGAAGAGAAACATCCAGCCCTGGCTGGTTCTCTATCATTGGGATCTTCCCGTCTATCTCCAGCAACAAGGAGGCTGGCTGAATCGGGACACGATCAAGGCTTTTCGAGACCTGGCACTGGTTTGCTTCCGAGCATTCGGCGATCTCGTCCACACGTGGATCACCATGAACGAGCCCTTGACCATGAGCGTGTTTGGGTTCCTTACTTCGTTTTTAGTTGAACTTCAAACTTTTTGGGTTTCCTTATTTAGTAGGAATATGAAAGTTTAACCTTCTTTTCCCCTTGGTTATTGGAGAAGTAAGGTTCGGGAAGGATGGAATCAGTGCTCCAGGACCTTCGTAGCTGAAGGAGTACACTTTACTAGACACTTTTTGGGATCCCAGAATCCCCCCACCTATAAAACTGAAAGGGTACACTTTTTTGGGGGCTTATGAACTCAGCAACTAAGAGGACGCTGCACGGGATGTGAGAATGGAGGCGACTCGGCCACCGAGCCTTATCTCGTGTCCCATCACTTAATCCTGGCCCACTCCCTCGCAGCTGAGCTCCTTGCCTCCCTTAACGCCTCTCGCGTGGGCATCTAGCTTGGCCCTTGGGACATTTTATGTTTTTTTTTGTTCCCCGCATTTTTTGTTTCTTCCTTTTTGGGTTTAAGAGCAGGATCATATTCAGGAATGCTTTTCCCAGGGTTTTTTAAGGGCCATCCTAGGTATTGTGCTCAATCTCGAGTGTGGATATCCTTTCAACGCCTCGGATCCAAGCGACGTCGAAGCTGCTCAGCGACATCACGAGTTCGAGCTTGGCTGGTTTGCGGATCCTATCTTTGGAGGTCGAGGTGAATATCCTTCTTCAATGGTTCAGCGTGTCGGCCAGCGGTTGCCTCGCTTCTCCCCAGAAGAGCGTCTTCGTCTCCAGCTTTACCGTCCTGCTTTCTTCGCTGTCAACCACTATTCTTCGATGTTCGTTCAGAATGTTCGCCATCTCAAGTCACGCCCAAGCACAAGCTTCGAAGACGACAAAGGCGCGAAGCTTGGATTTAGAGATGCCCAAGGACAGCTGATTGGGAAACTTTGTCATAGTTGGGTACCATTTTACAGATTTTTACGGGTACTTAAACCCAATTAGGCACTTAAATTTGCATTTTTAATATTATCCCTAAACCCTAAACCCTAAACCCTAAACCCTAAACCCTAAACCCTAAACCCTAAACCCTAAACCCTATGAACTAGGAAGCCCTGCGATGTCGACTGGATTCACATCGTGCCTCAGGGATTGGCCCGCCTTCTCCGGTGGATCGATGCTCGATACTAGGCAGGCCTTTTAGGACATTTTGTATGATTTAGGGTTTAGGGTTTAGGGTTTAGGGTTTAAGGTTTAGGGCCTAGGGTTTAGGGTTTACGGCTCTTATTAGGTTAAGAGAGTGATATTTTCGGGACATTTCACATTTTCCCGTTTTTGGGGTTTAAGAGTCTCATAACTATTTAGGAACATTTTACATCTTCCCTTTCTTGGGTTTGCAAGAGGGTCATCGATTTAGGAACATCTTTCGGAGGTAGTTTAAGTGGGGCCATCCTAGGATATGACCATCCCCCCATCTACGTGACGGAGAGTGGAACTGCCGACAGCTCCGTGTTCGACGACGCCCTGCGTCAGGAGTACCTCTCGAAGTACCCTGGTCGCCAGCAGTAGAACCCCAAACGCTAAATCCCTAAACAAAAGCCCTAAACCCTAAACCCTCATGTATACATACATATATATATATATATACATTTAGTATTTGTATTTGTGTTCTGTTTTTGTTTGTTTCCATTTTTGGGGTTCTGGGGTTCCCTTATAAAGAACCAACTCGAAAAAGGGCACCCATATTACATGGGGGGTTACGGAAAATCAGGGACCCCTAATCCAGACTCCCGAATAGTCGGATCCCCTTGCAATAAGGACCAAAGAAAGGTACCCTTAGTTTCCCTCAACCCTAAACCCTAACCCTCAACCCGACACCCTAAACCCTAGACCCTGAACCCTGAACCCTGAGCCCTAAGCCCTAAACCAAACCCTGAACCCTAAGCCCTAAGCCCTAAACCCTAAACCCCCTAAACCCCAAACCCCAAACCCCTAAACCCCCCAAACAATGGGTTGTGGGGCTGCCAAGGTACATCCCCTCCATGCTCCGGACCATTTCCCAGGGCATTGATGTTCGAGGCTACTTCGTCTCTTGGTAGCCCAAGTGAGGACCCTTTTGCGCCCTTTCTTCTGGGTCCTAGTAGACATCCCTAAACCCTGAACCCTAAACCCTAAACCCGAAACCCGAAACCCTAAACCCTAAACCCTAAACCCTAAACCCCAAACACGTCAGCCAGCACGAAAAACAAGGGTACCTTAAATTATTCTTTGCTTGCCGGGCTGGCAAGGTCTGGAGCCTCATGGACAACTTTGAGTGGGCTGATGGGTTCCGGACGCGCTTTGGGCTCTACTTCTCCAACTTCAGCAGCCCCAAGATTGAGATAAAGCCTCGACGCAGCGCGGGCTTGTTCTCTTCCATCATCCGTCGCACCCGTCGCGGTTTGGGAGACAGGTGGCTTCTCCAATGATCCCAGGCAGTTCGCTGCGAGTTTTCAAGGCTCCAACGTCCAAACAGGATGTCATGATGAAGCCTACACCGAGGACCCGTTGACGGACACAAGATCCTTCGAGCCCAGAAACTGCGGGCATTTCATGGGCTTAGGGTTTAGGGTTTAGGGTTTAGGGTTTAGGGTAAAGTGACCTCAGGATGATGGTAGGGCTTTCTTCAGGAATGTTGGTGGTGAGAAGGTTTCCGGAGTCGGGGACGAGGGTACGGTTCAGGACTTAGGGTTTGGGGTTTGGGGTTTGGGGTTTAGGGTTTGGGGTTTAGGGTTTAGGGTTAGGGCTTAGGGTTTGAGGTTTAGGCTTCGCAGCCATGCTGTGCAGTTGCTGCGAGAGTAGCTCTGGGCAACTGCTGTGGGGTTCAGGCTTTCAACCCCAAACCCTAAACCCTAAACCCTAAACCCTAAACCCAACACTCCCTGCAGACCCTCAACCCTGAACCCTGAACCGCCCTGGACAGCTGGTCCGAAGGGGTCACGGAGGGTTTGCCCTCAACCTGGTGGCCGCACCCCGGAAACAGATGAAAGAATACCCCCCCCCCCCCGCCCCCTTCCCCCAGTGTAGGGTCCCCGGTGTAGGATTTAGGGCATACGGTTTAGGGTTTAGGGTTTAGGGTTTAGGGTTTCGGGATCACCCTCCGAGACAACGCGCTTCCTGGTGCTGATCCGCGACCCACGCCCGCGGTGGATCTCGGCGCGTGTCTTGATCAAAGTCAGTGACCCCAACCCCGAGCGGCATCCTCCTCTCCATTGACTCCATTGGGAATCATACTGCTATTCTTGTGCTGTGTTTTCATATTGTCATTCACTGTTTTGGGATAAAACGCTTGCATGCAGCTGCCCATGAGCAGGTAGCTGCCCATGAGCCCATGAGCTCCACACCTCAAGCCCTCCGGGTTTATTGTTTAGGATTTAGGGTTTAGGGCGTTTAAGCCCCAAGCCCAAAACCCTGTATGCAGGCGACGCAAGTTTGCGGGTTAGCCCGCGGCCTCTGTTTTGCAAGGTCCTGGCGCTGCAGGCCAAGGGGGTTTGGGGGTTCCCAAAATGTAGGGTTCGGGCCGTTGATTTTTCTTGTTTTTTTGTTAACGTTTTATTTAGGGGGGGTGGGAGGGTTTGGGGTTTGCGGGTTGGGGTTTAGGGCTTAGGGTTCAGGGCTTAGGGTTCAGGGCTGAAACCCCCTAAACCCTAAACTTTACCCTAAACCCTGGGGGCTAAACCCTAAACCCTCAGACCGCCAGGGTTTAGCTGTTGTTTTTTTTTTTTTTTTACTTTGCCTTCTTTCCCTTTTCAAGGAAACCTATTCATAAATAATTTTCAGAGCGCTTTAACGCACCACTCAGCTAGGCTTCAGGGTTTACGGTTAGTTTAGGGTTCAGGTTTAGGGGGCTTAGCCCTGAACCTTCGGGCTGAGTGGGTGGGGTTTATCATGTCGGGTTGACCTATGGGGGATTCTGTGTTTCGGGGTCAGTCTTAAGGGGGGGGTGACAAAGGCGACACAGATTCAAAAACCCAACCTCCCACTGCCCTCATAGATTGGGATTTATACTAACAGGCGCAGGGCGGGTACGAAAATCCCTATGAAGGAGTGTTTGTACAAGGGGGAGCATCCCAACTTTTCGAAAACAACGACGCCTTTACGTTTGTCAAAGCGAGAAGCCCCACAATCGACTCTTGGTGGGCGGATCTGCCGTTTGGGCCTTGCTAACGCTTATCCCTGAACCGTAAACCCAAAACCCAAAACCCAAAACCCAAAACCCAAAACCCAAAACCCAAAACCCTAAACCCTAAACCCCCTAAACCCCCTAAACCCTAAACCCTAAACCCTAAACCCTAAACCCTAAACCCTAAACCCCCTAAACCCTAAACCTAAACCCTAAACCCTACCCTAAACCCTAAACCTAACCAAACCCCTAAACCCTAAACCCTAAAACCCTAAACCTAAACCCTAAACCCTACCATATCGAGACCCCTTGAAAGGCGGCCCCAGAAGTACTAACGTGGGAGACTCAGGAAGGGGCGGAGGCCCATACTTCACCGGCGGGGGGGGGGGGGGTGGGGGTGGGTCCAGTTGCCTACTTGAAGGTTCATGGTACTTACTAACCAAGTATAACTGGGCTTATAACCCTACATAAAAATTGGGATAACCCCTATAAGGCCCTTTAGGGGAATTATAAGTAGGTTTATAAGTACAGTTATAATTGGTTTGTAAGTACCATGAACCTTCAAGTAAGCCCTGGATCCTGGACCCTGAACCCTGAATGTTAGGGATCCTTTTTGCTTTTTGGGTAATGGGCTTTCTTATATATGAACAAAAAGGATCCGTTTTTCTTCCTAGGGGAACAGGGATTAAGTAATCCTAAGCCCTACAAGCCCTAACCCTAAGCCCCAAATCCCTAATCCTGAGAACCCACATCATTAATCCCTAAACCCTAAACCCTAAAGCCTTAAATCCCCCGATGTCGTCCGCAGATCCTGACTCTTCCGGAGCTGGCGTCTGCCGTTGGCACGCACCTTCACATAGAGGCGGCTCCAGGGGCGGTAGAGTTTAGGATTTAGGGTTCAAGGTTTAGGGTTTAGGGTTTAGGGTTTAGGGTTTAGGATTTAGGGTTTAGGGTTGGGATGTTCCCCCCTATACTAACAGTGCTTCATACTATACTCCCTATTCGGGACTGCTAGTATAAGGGGGAAGCATCCCAAGTTTTGGGTGCCGGGTACACCCTAAACCGTAATCCCTAAACCCTAAACCCTAAACCCTAAACCCTAAACCCTAAACCCTAAACCCTAAACCCTAAACCCTAAACCCTAAACCCTACAAGTTTCATGCTTAGGGCGCATAGGGGCCGAAGGCCCCCATTTTGGTGGCTAGGTTTGGGCAGGCTTGTGCGTTGTGGCAAACCTCCTAAATTCCTAAACTCCCTTGAAAACACTCAAGGCTCAGAAGAGAGGCGCACCCACGACATTGCTTGCTTGGGCCACCCTGGGAGACTCTGGTGTTATGTCCCGGAAGCCTTGCGCTTCTGTCACGGGCTGCCGGATAGTGCATATGCACATAGTCTGCGCCCCGGCTTTCCCTGAACGCATTTCAGACTTGCGATACCGCGCCAGAGTTTGGCAGGTATGTTGAGTGCCTGGACAGCGTTGGATTGCAGGCGGCGAGTTCTTGGAGTTGGTTCACCATCAAGTCTGGTCTTGAACAGTGTCAACTTGGGCGGCAGCAAATTCTCACGGCATCAGTCTCTTGAAGTGGTCATCGGCGGCATCTGAGGCTTTCGTCACACACCTTCCTTAAGGGCTTTATGTTTTGGGGTTTCAGGATGTAGCGTTTAGGGTTTTAGGGTATTAGGGTTTCAGGGTTGTAGGGCTTCAGGGTTTCAGGGCTTTGGGGTTTTGGTGTTTTAGGTTTCAGGGTTTAGGGTTTTGGGGTTTCAGGGCTTTTGGGGTTAGGCTATCATGGGATTTTTCCTTGGACCCCTAAGGTTGTACCCAGAACCTTTTGAAAAAACCCTCCGTGGGAATGTAAGGGCCATATTTGGGGTATATTCAGGGAAACCTTTAGGGCTACGACCTTCGGGGCCCGAGTATGAATCCCTTTGAGGCTAGGTATAAAAGGGTTCGGGTTTTAGGGTTTAGGGTTTAGGGTTTAGGGTTGAGGGTTGAGGGTTGAGGGTTGAGGGTTGAGGGTTTCATGGGTTAGGTTAGGGATTGGGGATTTTGGGTTGGGGGTTTTAGGGTTCAGCGTCTCTGAAAATACGGCCCATGTGAGCACTCGGGCCTTGATGGTGCCGGGGGGTAGACATATAGGATCTAAACCCTAAACCCTAAACCCTAAACCCTAAACCCTAAACCCTAAACCCTAAACCCTAAACCCTAAACCCTAAACCCTAAACCCTAAACCCTAAACCCTAAACCCTAAACCCTAAACCCTAAACCCCAGCTTACAACCCCAACCTATAACTGTACCTGCAAGCCGCCCCAAGTCCTTGAAGTAGGTTATCAGCAGACTTATAATTCGGGTGATTAGTACTCCTACACCCTAAACCCTAAACCCTAAACCCTATCCCCTGATTCCTAAACCCTAAACCCTAAACCCTCCAAGTAGACGCGCCAGGTCTACGAGAAGTGGATCACCGATGAGGCATCTCCCGGATCACCTCCCATCCTGGAGGGAGCAAGGGTGTAGGCTGCTTTTCAGGGGTTTAGGGTTTAGGGTTTGGGGTGTAGGGTTTAGGGTTTAGGGAGCAAAGGCGTATATAGGGCCTTAATGATAATTAGAATAGGGTTTTTGGGGGTTCTTGTAGTATAATTAAAAAGAGACCATAACGGAAGACCATTTGTGCTTATTCTGACCGCTATATTAGCCTGCTTTTTGAGGGGTTTGCGGTTGAGAGTGCATCTGGTTACGGTTGCGAATCCGGTTTGGGGATTCAGGGTTGAGGGTCTAAGGTGTAAGGTTTAGGGATTAAGGTGTAAGGTTTAGGGTTTAGGGGTGGTGGAGTTCTGCAGCCCTGGACGTTCCCTGGCACCCCAGGAGAGCCCTAAACCCCAACCCCAAGCACCGGGAACAAATAGCACAAGCCCTGCAACCCAAAAACCCTAAACCCTAAACCCTAAACCCTAAAACCTAAAACCCAAAAACCCCAAACCCGGCAACTGTCTCTAATTTGTTCGGGGGGTTCTTAAACAAAGAGTAGTAATACCCTTCTAAGAACTCGTAGGGCTAAACCACAAACCCTTCCACCTAAACCCTAAACCCTCTTTTGCACGTGCCTGCGGTCTAGGATTCAGAATTTTAGGGTGGCTCTTGGGTGTTGAGGGGCCGCAAGTTACGCTTCCGTGGTTTTACAAGTTACGCTTCCGTGGTTTTGCGAGGACCTTAGGGTCTGAGGAGTTGCTTTAGGTCAGAACATTGGCTAACTTAGTGTTAACTTCTAGCCCTATTGACATATCGCACACAACCCTAAGTCTTA